GAAGTAGAAGACAACTTAATGTTCATCAATGACTTCACTTTCATAACCATGTCTTCCGAATTCTACAGATAAGTTCAATATAATTAATCGATCTCTATTTCGTATTGATTTGATTTATTCGTGATCCTAATGTCTTATTGTTGTGATTTCAGAATATGTCCTACATGATATTCGTGTGTACTCTTCTTCGGTAATTTGGATATTCGTTGCTCCTTCATTTATGGCCCCCCATATCATGTGGAAAAACAGAGCTTTGGGCATCAATTATACACTCGGGGAGTGATATTAATAAGCGATGGATGGTGGTGGGGGATCTTATTGAGCTTCTATGGCAACATGAAAAGCTTGGTGGGAGTCAATGGAATCCTATCAGAGCCAGATTTCTAAGAGATTTTATAGATAATAACTATCTCCTGGATATTGGATTTTGTGGCCCGCTGTTCACTTGGGTTAGGAAAGAAGATGAAGTTGTTATCCTACAAGAAAGGTTGGATCTGTTTTTAGTGAATGAAGCATGGATTGACAAATGGCCTAGTTCTTCTGTAACTCATGGATAGCGGATTGGATCAGACCATTGTTTTATTCTGTCCCAGACTATCTCCGATGTTCCTAAATCCCGCAAGCTTTTTAAGTTGGAAGCTTTCTGGGCTGATGACCCTGACTGCAGGGAAATTGTCGAGACAGGGTGGAATGAAGGTCTTGGAAGGAGTGAGTTACACAAATGGTCTTCTTCTTTGGGCTAGCTGTTGCAGGCGAAGACTCATTGCCTGGAGTAAGGAGAAATTTTCAAAAGATCACGAACTTGCTGGCCAGTTATTAGGGGAGCTTGAGCAGATTCAAAGCAGTTTTATCTTGAATAATGCTAGAGAATTAGAGATCAGTGCTCAACTATCTAGTATTTGGGCTAGAGAAGAGAAATTTTGGCAACAACGTTCCAGGATTAGCTGGCTCTCCAATACTCGCTTCTTCCACCTTACAACGATGCAGAGGCGTTGTAAAAACAAAATCACGAGAGTTGCAAATGAGGATGGAGTATGGGCTGAAGAAAATGGTGATATAAGAGATACCTTTGAAACGTTCTTTATGAATTTATACAAGTCAGATGGCAAGAGATTGGGGGAAAGCTTTAACTGGGTTGCAAGCGTCCATTACCTTGGAGATGAATGCTTTGTTATGCTCTCCTTTTACCAATGATGAAGTGAAAGATGCAGCCTTTCACTTGGGATCCCTAAAGGCCCATGGTCCTGATGGATTTCCAGGATTTTTCTACAATAGGTTCTGGCATATCTTGAATGAGACCATTGTTTGCACTGCCAATGATTTCTCGAAAGAAAATATCCTCTTGTCACAAATCAACAAAACCCATATTGCCTTGATTCCAAAAGTACCTAACTCGGAAAACGCTAGCCAATACCATCCAATAAGCCTCTGCTGCAAGTCCTATAAAATCTTTTCCAAAATCCTCGCCAATAGGTTGAATACCATCCTTCCAAATATCATATCATGCCACCAAAATGCTTTTGTCCCTCGTAGACAAATACAAGATAATCTTTTGGTAGCCCACGAAGTCTTTCATTACCTAAAGTTGAAGAGTAGTGGAGGGCGACATGAGCTAGCGCTTAAATTAGATATGAACAAAGCATATGATAGGGTGGAGTGGGATTTCTTGGAGGAGACAATGCGGATGATGGGTTTTAATGAGGGTTGGATTGGTTTGGTCATGGGGTGTGTTACCACCATTTCTTTTTGGTGGTAATCAATGAGAAGCGGGGAAAATACTTTCATCCTACTAGAGGGTTAAGACAAGGAGACCATTTATCCCCTTATCTTTTCCTACTAGTGAGTGAGGTTTTATCTAGAAGTGTTGCTTTTGCCACTAACAATTTGTCTTTGCGGGGTATAAAAATTTGCAGTTGTGGTCCGTTAATTTCACGTCTCATTTTCGCCGATGATTCTCTCTTTTTCATTCGGGCAAGTGAAGGAAATTGCAAGTATTTGATGGAGATCCTTGAGGAATATTGTCATGCATCCCAGCATCGTATTAACTATTCCAAGTCAGCTATATACTTCAGCCTCAACACTCCCACCTCTTGTCGATATATTCTATGCTCAATTTTGAAGATTCCGAACACCAATAACCCCGGAAAATACCTTGGTCTCCCTTCCATTTGGGGCAGGTCAAAGCGTGACGCTCTTAGCTATGCCAAATAACGTATCTAAAATCGCATCCAAGGGTGGAAAGCCAAGGAATTAACTATGGCTGGGAGAGAAAGCTTATTGAAATCGGTAGCGCTGGCTATTCCAGCTTATCCCATGTCATGTTTCAAATTTCCCAAGTCGACTTGCACTGAATTGAACACCGTTTTGAGCAATTTTTGGTGGGGTAATACTGAAACGGGCAATAAAATTCAGTGGAATGCATGTAGTGACTTATGTGAATCTAAAGACAAATGAGGGATGGGTTTCAGAGATTTGGAAAACTTCAACCTTGCTCTTCTTCCAAAATAGTGTTGGAGGTTGTGGATCAATCCTGATTCTTTTTGGGTTCGTGTTATGAAATCTCGCTACTTTCCTAGAGGAAACATATTGGAAGCTACTCGTGGTGCCCGTCCTTTATAGGCATGGACTAGCCTTTTAGAAGGCAGAAGGATTTTGTCTGAATGATGCAAATGGCAAGTTGGGGACGGTTCTCGAATTCGGATATGGAAGGATAATTGGCTGCCACCATTGACGTCGTCTTGTATCAAACCGAAAAGAATCATACCAGGGCCTTTGCCGACTATGGTCAGTTCTCTTATTGACATCAATATGGGACATTGGAAACTTGATGAAATATCCCACATCACGACTTAACGTGACCTTCACACTATTGCATCGATTTCGCTCTATAATTTGGAAGAGGAGGACAGGTTAGTCTGGCCATGGAATCGTGATGGAATGTACTATGTAAAGAGTGGTTATCGATGGGCTTTTCATCAATGTAGTCTGATCCCCTCCACTGCGGCACAGACATCTCATCAAATTGATTCTCAAGTTTGGAAAATCATTTGGTCCCTCAAAATGGTGCCGAAGATCAATAATTTTTTGATCCCAACAAAGAAGAATTTGTTCACACGTCATATCAACCCAAACCCTCTCTGTCCATTTTGTGAGGAGTTTGAAGAATCAACAGAACACATTCTTCTTCTTTGTCTTTGGGTGAGCTATGTATGGTATGGTTCCTTGTTATCCTGTCGACCAAACTTATAAGCAGTGACTACTCTTGGAAGATGGTTCCAATCAGTTTCACATATTGGGTCTACTTCAAAGATTCAAAGGAATAAGATTATGGTTTATATTGGTGTGGTCTGTTGGGAGATTTGGAAAGAACGATGCCATGCTTGTTTCAATCACTCTCTTCCTAACCCGATAAGCGTTATTATCAAAGCCAATATGCTTTTCAATGACATTATCTCAAACCGCATTGGGCATGAGCTCAACTTTAGGTTCTCTGATCCTCTTGCCTGCTTACAGATCATTCATCAAACGTTTCGGGTATGTTTTCTCCTATTTTCGAACATTTCCTATGAAAAAGATCCATGATTTCTGCATTTCTGGCATCAACGTTGACAAGCATCGTGTTGCAAGCCTATGATTAAGAGGGAAAAAACCCGGGGAAGTATATAAAGCTACGTCCGGAGAATATTGAGTCAATGCTGAATGAATTTTTCGAGAGTAAGACGTGGGGAGAAAAGCGATAGGTAGTTGACATGCCTGTTTTGAGAAATAGAGACTTAGCTTCCAATGGTAGTCTTTGTATAATTTAAGATGATGTTAAATAATAAGCGATGTTATATGCCCCATGTAAAGATTTCAATTAATTATTCATGTTCTTTTAGGTTTTGATTTTCAGCTACCCAATGAGAAATGTGTAGGAAATATTCGTTTATGTGCAAATGTTAAAAGAAAACATAATACAAGTGTGGTTATTGTTCGAGTATAATTTTTTTATGAGTATTTCTTCTTAATTAATGTATATACATACATATGTATGATGTATGTGCACCACATGTGTTGTGTATGAAGAAGAAATACGCAATATGTACAATTAACGTTTACAGAGAAAAGCCTTCATTTTGTGGAATGATCAAGTATGTACATGATCAATGACTACAAATGTGCCTTTTTTCAATACACAAACATATATTTAAATGAATATTTAAAAACGGCTGGAACCCCAGTCGAAGTTGGCCGGCTAAGCCCTCACGCCCAATGTAAGGGGAACTTTAACGAAAAGCACCCGGTACTATTCACTTTAACGAAAAACCACATTTTTACACTAAAAAGTCAATCATTGTACTATTCACTTTACCCTTTATTTTGTCCTTATCATTAAAACTCAAAATTTTCAAGCCCTTTTCATTAGTTTTCCTCAATGTAAGCCTTTTCCTCTTAGTTCATTCCCCTTCTGAACAAGTTGTTGATTTAACTGCTGCCAGAGGATGAGTTTTCATCTTGCAACTTGACCTTTTATTCCACTGTAACTACTAAATTGCCATTAGAAAGAAATTGTCTTCAATAAAAAAATCGATTGAATTACCTTCTTTAATGTGAAAGAAGGTTTCTTTGCCGTCCATGATGCCACATCATAAAGCACTTTTGAAAACTTGGGCTACAAGAGGGCTTCTTTGCCGCCCATTATGCCACGCCATAAAGCACTTTTGAAATCTTGGGCTGCACTGTTCATTTGCAACAAAATGAAATACCCATCAAGATATCAGTTAAAATCCAGTGAGTTGGGCCTTGAACAAGCCGGACACATGTTTTCAGTCCGAACACTTTCTTTTTCTCTATTTCTTTTAGTCCAAGTCCATTATAAAGGTTCATGTCAGTCCGATCAAAAGTCCCATGAAATTGAGTAGGAAATGGATGTTTACATCTTCCTAAAAAGATATTTTTCAAGCCGGTACACCAACTGTTAGAGAATCCTAGTCCACAAAAAAAAAGGTGTAGGCCATGCATTCACATTTCCTAATGCCCTCTATTGCATTATAAATAAACTCTCCACCAGAATTACGATAGTACACAACCCACGACTACAACCCTGTCAAGATTCTAGTGTGACAACCATCATAATTCTCTCTTACTCAGGACATGGCATCCCCTCCTAGTTCTTTGGTGTTCATAGTGCGGAGGCGCCAACCGGAACTGGTAGTGCCAGCAAAAGTCACGCCCTATGAGTTTCGACAACTTTCTGATATTGATGACCAAGAAGGTCTTCGGTTTCAGATCCCCGTGCTACAACTTTATCAGTACGATCCCTCTATGCAAGGGAAAGACCCCGTACATGTCATTAGAGAGGCAATTGCACAAACTCTAGTGTTTTACTACCCTTTTGCTGGTAGGCTCAGGGAGGGGCCTAACCGAAAGCTCGCGGTGGAATGCACAGCTGAGGGTATCATGTTCATTGAGGCTGATGCTAACATTACCCTAGAGCAGTTTTGGTGACAACCTTCAACCGCCGTTTCCTTGCTTGGAAGAGCTTCTTTATAATGTTCCTGGTTTCGATGGGGTTCTTAATTGCCCACTCTTACTAATTCAGGTACAATTACGTATATACTTTATAGAAATTTAGGACTCAAAGTTTCATTACTATCATTTTCATCTCAGGAGAGCATCACAATTTAGCTTTTTTCTTCTAATATTTTATACTAACATAATAGTTTTGAAAAATTTGATATAAGTTCAATTTCTTTAATGATAAAATTTACTATAAAAATAAATTTCTTCCTAGTTATATCTTTAATTATTTCTTCGTCTTTTTTTTTTTTGGTTTTTCTTGTTCTTCTTATTCTTACTCTAAACCCCATTTGTAGATTTTAACTTTTAATTTTTATAATCAACCTGTATCACATATTAATATGCATTACTTGTAGGTATATTATGTTTTTGTACCCTTTAATTAGGTTTTGTTTCTTGCTAATATACATTCATGTATTATTTGAGTTAGGTCATATGTTCTGCAGATGAATTTATGTTAGTATATTAATTTTTTCGTTAGAAGTTATTATGTAGATTTATTGAAATTAGAAGATGCATTAAATTTAAATGCCCCTAATAGTTTTCTATGGTTCAAGTTATTTTTCTATGATCCGATTTATTCTGGTTTTAGAGTAATGTGTTATTTGGTTTCCGTACTATGGAGTGAAAATTATATTTGTAAACTCATTAAGAATAGTCATATTTGTTGTGGTCTATTTTATCTGACAGAGGGACTAGGGCCGGCGGCAGAGAGAGAGAGGAGAGAGATGTGTGTTTGTAGAATTGTAGGGGAATGTGTGTGTTGTTATCCCTCCTACATTGTGCCTTTATTTATAGTAGTAAAGGGAGAGAAGATATTCCTTCTCCTCCAAGTAATACAAGTTGTAATAGGAAAGGATAACTAGAATCAAATCTTATCTAGGATTTACACAATCATACTTAAACTAGGAATGTTTACAACACTCCCCCTTGAGTGGGTAAATACTCAAGGTAGATTCAGCATCATGCAGAAGTTGAGGAAGTCGACTCGTCGGCAATGATTCCAAGGAACAACGCTTATTCTCAATAAGGTAGGAACTTGCATAAGTAGTAAGTCTCACTAAAAAACCCTAAGGCTATGGCAAAAACCCAAGTAGGGACAAAATCCATAGTCTAAGGAAAAATGCGTGTGAGAAATGCAAAGTCAAAAGAAACGTCTACAGGACGTCATCAGGGATATGACCAGCCCAAGGTGGGTGCCTCGTTAAAACCTAGTTAGGTAGCAAAAACCCAGTGGGAAAAATGCTCCTAATCGTAGGGAAAAAGAGTACATTAAGATCAAGCAAGTATCTAGAAGATACTCCCCCTGAGTTTGACATAATTCCAAAGAGAAATAGCAAAGTTACAACTCAAAAAGTTTACGCATACCAATTCCATGAACAAGCTTCTGAAACGTCGCCTTCGGTAGTGATTTGGTGAAGAGGTCGGCCAGATTGTCTTGTGATCGGATTTGCGTGACTTCAATCTTCTGATCTGCTCTGATGCTCTTGTTGTTGATGTGTAAAGAAGAACTTCGGCGCAATATGCTTGGTGTTGTCTCATTTGATGTAACCCTTCTTGAGCTGTTCGATGCAAGCTGCGTTGTCTTCAAAAATCGTCATCGGGGCATTAACGGTGGGATGAAGATCACAGGAGCTTCGAATATGGCCCACTACTGCTCTCAACCAAAAGCATTCCCGAGTTGCTTCATGTAAGGCGAGAATTTCAGCATGGTTAGACGAAGTGGCAACTAAGGTCTGTTTAGTTGACCTCCAAGATATTGCGGTGCCTCCAACGGTAAAGACATAACCCGTTTGAGAACGCGCCTTGTGCGGATCAGATAAGTATCCAGCGTCGGCATAACCAACAAGGCGAGAATCAACCCGATGAGCATAGGGTGCGGCATCACTCGAGGATTCGTAGGGATAGAATAAGCCCAAATCCGTAGTACCCTTAAGGTAACGGAAGATGTCTTTCACGCCAGTCCAATGTCTGCGTGTTGGTGCATTGCTGTATCTTGCCAAAAGATTAACAGCGAAGGAGATGTCGGGTCTAGTGCATTGAGCTAAGTACAATAAAGCGCCTATCGCACTTAGATAAGGAACTTCAGGCTCCAAAATCTCTTCATCATCCTCCTTCGGACGGAAGGGATCTCGCTTTGCATCTAGCGTACGAACGACCATAGGAGTACTCGAAGACTTCGCTTTATCCTCATTAAAACGGCGCAACACCTTCTGGGTGTAGTTCGATTGATGTACTAGGATTCCATCCGAACAATGCTCTATCTCGAGACCGAGACAGTATCGAGTCTTACCTAGATCTTTCATCTCAAATTCCGACTTCAGGTGCGAAGCAGTTCTCGCGAGCTCTTCAGGAGTTCCGATGAGATTCATGTCATCGACATATATACTGCAACAATCGCAAATCCGGAATGTGACTTCTTAATGAACACACAAGGGCATAGTTCGTTATTCACATATCCCTGACTAGTCAAATACTCACTTAAACGGTTATACCACATTCTTCCGGATTGTTTCAAACCGTATAGTGAACGCCTCAGCCGAATTGAGAGCGTGTTCCGGGGTTTGGAAATATTTGAACCAGTCAATGTAAGTCCTTCGGGAACTTTCATATAAATTTCCGTATCAAGATCCCCATAGAGATACGCGGTTACTACGTCCATCAGCTGCATATCCAGTTTTTCAGAAACTACCAAACTGATAAGGTATCGAAAAAGTAATCACATCCATAACGGGTGAGTAAGTTTCGTCATAGTCAATCCCGGGGCGTTGTGAGAAACCTTGTGCTACAAGACGAGCTTTGTAACGCACAATTTCGTTCTTCTCATTACGCTTCCGAACGAAAACCCACTTGTAGCCAACGGGCTTCACATGTGGAGGAGTAGGAACTACAAGTCCAAACACCTTACGTTTCGCAAGTGAATCAAGTTCGACTTGGATTGCTTGTTTCCAGTTTGACCAATCAGCTCTACGTCGACATTCATCAACGGAACGCGGTTCAATGTCATTGCTCAACATGATCTCAGTAGCTACTGCAAATGCTAATGCATCGTCGACAATCATCTCATTTCTACGCCACACATCATCTAAGCTAGCATAATAGACCGAAATCTCACGATTCTCGGGAGGAGGATTCGTTTCTTCAAGGACGCTTCCATAATCTAGAATTTCCTCATGAGTTGGGTAAAATGAGTAAGCGATAGTCGGATTTACGGTAGGCTCTTCAGGACCTTGTGCCGTGGTTTTCCTCTTCCGGGGGTGTGAATCCTTTGAACCAAGGGGTCTGCCACGCTTTTGTGTAGGGGCAGATGATTGGCTAGCCGCTAATGTACGTGGATCACCAGAATTGGCGTCCCGGGCTTCCAGGAGGGTAAGTCCGTCGTCGTACATTTGGTACATCCATCTTTGCAGGCGTATTCGCAGCTGGACTATGTGATCTTGTCACGCGCGCTAGATCGGTGAAAGCATCTGGCATGCTCTGAGCTATGCTCTGGAGATCTAATATGCGCTGCACTTCAGCTTCAGACTGAGCGGTGCGGGGATCTAAATGAGACAAAGTGGGAGTCGTCCACGATAATTCGCGTCGTTCATTTAGGAACGTTGACGTTCTTATCTCCCCCTAACGACGGGAAGACTGTCTCATAGAAGTGACAATCCGCGAAACGAGCGGTAAACAGATCGCCTGTCAAAGGTTCTAAGTAACGAATAATCGAAGGAGAATCATATCCGACATAGATTCCCATCCTTCGCTGAGGCCCCATTTTTGTACGTAAGGGCGGCGAGATCGGCACATAGACCGCACAACCAAAAACGCGCAGATGCGATATGTCGGTTTCGCATCCGGTGACCAACTGAAGGGCACTAAATGGTTGTGTCGCAACAGGCCTCAGGCGGACCAACTTTGCTGCGTGCAATATTGCATGGCCCCAAGCAGCGATCAGGAGCTTGGTACGTATGACCAACGATCGAGCAATCATTTGTAAACGCTTAATGAAAGCCTCTGCCAGGCCGTTCTGGGTGTGAACATGGGGTACAGGATGTTCAACTTCAACCCCAACCGACATGCAATAGTCATCAAAAGTTTTAGATGTGAATTCTCCAGCATTATCCAATCGAATAGATTTGATCGGATAATCAGGGTGGTGAGCCCTGAGCTTGATAACCTGAGCCAACAGTTTGGAGAATGCAGCGTTCCTTGTGGACAACAAGCACACGTGTGCCCAACGTGTAGAAGCGTCAACCAAAATCATAAAATATCTAAATGGTCCGCATGGAGGTTGAATCGGTCCACAAATGTCCCCCTGAATCCGTTGTAGAAAAATGGGAGGATTCGAACGAATCTTGTCATAAGAAGGCTTAGTAATAAGCTTTCCCATAGAACATGTTTGACATGCAATTTCATGGATCGAACCTAAGCTTCGGGTTAGTGGATGCCCGTGTGAAGTTTTGAGGATACGGCGCATCGCTATTCGTCCAGGATGTCCCAAACGATCATGCCAAAGTGTAATTTCGTGCGCGGTCCCTGTGGTAGGGCCGGCCACATAGTGGCATTCTATGGGGCGTATGGTCGTAGTATACAGACCACTCGGGTTACGCTCCATCTTCTCTAGAATACGCTTCTGGCCATATTCGTAGGAAGTTACGCACAGAAATTCAACTCCGTTTTCTACGTGGGTTTCAGCGTGGTAATTGTTATCTCTAATGTCCTTGAAACTTAGTAACGTTCTTCCGGAACGTGGAGAATAGAGTGCCTCAGCAATGGTCAAGATTGTACCATTGGACAACATTATACGTGCCTTACCGTATCCTTCGATCAGGTTGGATGGGCCTGAGAGGGTTGTCAGAGGTGCATTCTTAGGTACGAAGTTAGTGAAATAGATGCGTTCACGCAAAACAGTATGCGTGGTTGCACTATCTGCCAGACAACTAACTTTCCCACTAGTCATACCTAGAATGAAAAATTAATTTGAATCGGTCACATGCATAAAAGTTTATAAAAACAAGTATCAATTCAAAATAATTT